ACGAAGTATCCCACACTCATGGTGGAAGTTCATGATGGATCGCGCTTGTACGTACATAAGGCGGAGAAAGGGCGTGGTCGGACGAGTTGCTAGTGCCAACTCTTTCTCCTCATCATCACGCTCTCGCCAATCGAAATGGAGGGAGTTATTAGCGGAACGACTTCAGGTAGCTTTTAAACATAAAAGTTGGGCGTCGCCATGGCCAGTGGGCGGAGCTGTGGTTCCGTCGCGAGCGGGCGGCGCTTCTCCGTCATTCTGAGCTGCAAAAGTAGTACATCCTCCATGCTTGCAGTCAGGGCCTATCACATCCAAAGAAAGCGCTTGAACATAAAATGAACGCGGGGCGTGCTTTTACGGGAGTTTTTCCGTTAGCTGTTGATTTTTCGCGGTTCGTACGCTCCCTGAACATTTCCATTCCGCGTTTCCTATCAGTGTCGCGGTGTAAATGCGGACTTAGCGAATTGGCATCATTCCCAATTTGTTCAAATTCTCTAACAAAACTATCTAATACCACCCACCCCTTCCCCCATCACAAGCCAGGAGGACCAAATGTGATTTTAATTCCTCAGGACATACATCAATTAGAGAATCAAAGACAATTATTTATTTATACGCGAGCCATAACAGCTAGCCCTGAAATGCTTTTAAAAACGCACAACATCGAGTGTAGCATGATAACAGAACAGTAATCATCTAATAAAACACGAAACGTACATAAATTTCTTCTATCTTATTATGTACACGTATAAAATCTCATAATTACCACACGAGGAGCACATTACTTAGGAAAAAAAAACGAAAAAAAAACAATAAATTACTAGAATGAGATACACCGGAGAATGGAGTGCTGACAGTAGTGGAGTGGTACTCACTGAAATCATGGGACTTAATGTGCAAAATTACGTTCTAATTATTAATCCTAACAAAACTGGGGAGGATCAACAAAACCACATTTATTTGCTACAGATTCAATGAAGTGAAAATGGTACACAGTGAGGAAAGCATCAACTTAAAGAGGAGATCGGGTATCTCATTAACCTACCAGATCACGTTCGGGCATTATGTATGAAATATCGTCCCAGGGATGACGATACAAGCCCTGCTTCAGACGGCGTTGGTCCAAATAATGACCTTAAAACAACTCTCATTGAAAATTCACGTGATGATGAATCATGAAATTCACGTGGGATTAAAGTGAAACCTAGACTTTGTTTCAGTTCATTTAAATCAACCAAAATTCGGTGAGGTGACAAGACAATCGCAATCCGCCGCGTAGTTGGGCATGCGACGTCGCGAGCGCAAATGAAGATGTTCTCAGCCGTCGGTGGCCACAACAGACAATATACTTCCGAAAAATAGCCATGAGTGTCGACGATATTGCAGCCTACATGAAATCCGGGGGTCAGTCGACAGGCTAATA